CATTCACTCATCAGCCAAAGCATACATCAGCAAGGTCCGCAGAATTTCCGTCGGACTTTTTCCTTTCAATCCGAAAAAGAAGGAACAAACACATAAGAACGGGAAATCGACATGCACATATGTGTTGAAATTCTTTTATTTCCCAAAAAGATGGCATGCATTCCAATAAAGCAGAAGAGCTCGCAAAGGTTTGCCAATCATTAAGAGAGGAGCTCAGCTGGGCGCGTATAGTCAGTCACTCAATCGCGCATGCTCTATATCATTCCTGTTCGAGGTTCCTATGTGTCCATGTAATCCGACAGAGACCACGTCAGTAATCGGGTGATTGGTCCGCCCGGTAACTTAGTTCTGAAAACGCATTTTCCCTAAACCCGATACCCATGCATTGAGCGAAATTCGAGGACCGTGCGAATTCCTAAGAAGAATGAAAAACAGAAGCGAGAAATCGACAAAGGTGCATGCATCAATCCACTTAGCCAAATGAGATCACATCAACATAACCCAAGCTTCACCAAAATCATGCATAGACAATCATCGTACCCGATCTCGACAAATTTGCAGAAAAACAGGAATAAAGTGGGAAAATTAAGCCAATCACCAATCACCAAAAATAACAAAAATCGGCAAAAAGATGGCTGGCACCACTTGTCAAAATTACATAGATGAGGGGAGAAAAAACACCATCCCGATACGCCCGCTCTCTCTCTCTCACTCTCTCTTACTCCACATCACCTCCGATGCAGGCAGTTCGTCGCCTCGCACCAACACAGAGTTGTCACCCCGCTTGGTCCGAGCATGCAAGCCAGGTTCGCCCGTGCGCCACAGTCTGTCACGGCCCGCACGTCAACCCCGCATACTCAGCATCAGCTCGTCGGGTCGCCTAACTCTCTTACTCCACATCACCTCCGATGCAGGCAGTCTGTCGCCTGGCACCAACACAGAGTTGTCACCCCGCTTGGCCCGAGCATGCAAGCCAGGTTCGCCCGTGCGCCACAGTCTGTCGTGGCCCGCACGTCAACCCCGCATACTCAGCATCAGCTCGTCGGGTCGCCCAACTCTCTTACTCCAATTCACCTCTGATGCAGGCAGTCTGTCGCCTCGCACCACGACATCCCGGCCATGGCCCAGCCACAGGTGTGGCCTAGACAGCTCGGCCGTGGCATAAGCAGGCGAGAAAAAAAAAAAAAAAAAAAAAAAAGAGGCCCACGGAAAAAAAAAAAAATAAACGTCGCAGGGCAGAAAAAAAATGCCGCAGGCGCAGGAAACACGACTGCCACCTCCCGTTTTTGCCAATTACTGAACTGGTAGGCGAGAAAAAAAAAAAAAAAAAAAAAAGAGTGGCCGCCTGATTTTGCCACTTCCGAGCTCTTCCAACGGCTAGAAGTGCACAAAGCTGTAACAACAGTTCTGTTTTTGCAGTTTCTAACTGCCCTAGGCCCAGACCTGCAGTGCCCTGCTACTGTTATTCCTTCCTGTGAATCCGGAACTGTGCAGCAGTCACCCGCGCAGTTATATTCCAAAAGAAAATGAAAAAAGACACCAGGTCCTTTTCCACGTTACCGTAACTGTATTTTCGATCAATGATCATGAATTTCAAACAGCACTGACTTAGAGATGCTGCTGTAACAGCCATCATAAATAAAACCTTCGGGATATTCTCTTCAAAAAACACAGCAGACTTTTAAAACGCATGCATTGCCCCTTCCATGCATTGCTCGGAGCAGCCAAGTCGTATGGCTCAATACATTATTCCATGAGACGATTAGCCATAAATTAGGGCAATCACACTATGCAAGGGTTCAGTTAGATCATTGCCATTCTAATGATTTGTGTCTTCCCTTCCCCCCCCCGCCCCCCCCCTCTCTTACCTGCACCTGCACCCAGAGTGTTATGCAGTTCTTTCTTTTAAAGTCCCCTCCACAGCAAACATATTTTGCAGTCACCTGTGCTCAACAGGTTATATAGTTCCAAAAAAAACTCAAACAGCAAATTGAATGGCTATTGCAGCTAGTCCCTAGGTCACACAAGTGAGAATTATACATGCAGCTTTCCAAAACCTCAAGCGACTAATGAAAGGCTATAATTGCAGGAGCCGGCTGGTTCCGAAAGGGCAGAGATTCTGAAGTCACAGTCAACCAAAGGTAGGAAGCATTATTGATGTCGACCTCAACCCTGGAAGGGGGCCCACTCTATTGTTTACCTGCATGCAAGAAGGTGCTGGAGAAGCTAAGGATGAGCACAGGTCAGACTCTAGAATCTGCCATGATTTGAGAGAATGGGCGTGGGGGTGGGGGTGGAGGTCGCGTGGGGTGGGGTGGGGTGGGGGGAGGGGGTAAGCCGTGGAAATAACAATGTCATTTAATCAGGGATAAAATTACATAAACAGGACATGCCAGTTTGGAAATGCAGTGAAAGGTATCTCTCACTGCGCAAGCGACTTATGGTCTCTCACCTCTTTTCCACGGCGCCCTTTCTAGAACAGCCTGAACAGATCAGATGCCTACTTAAATTTGGCCTTACATTCCCTCTCAAGAGTCTCAACCACATAAAGCCCGAAAGACTGTGGTTTCCGTACCGTATGATCAGAAATTTGATCGTAAAATGGGCCTATGGCACTACACTCAGCAGCACATAAAACTGAAATCAGACTCGTCTCATTCACACTTTTCATGCATGTAAACAGCAGCGCAGCAAACTGGCGACATGCGCCCACTCAATACTCAGAGATATGGCATCCAGATAAGAGTTCACTTTCAACTGGCTATGGCGACTCAGCGCCCAAACAACTCACTGTTCACACACACCGGATCACCCTGGATATCCCACACGCGTCACTCTGAACTCTCACGCACACACACACACACTTCACACTAACTACAGGTACGGCAGCTATGGCTGCCTCTACCCTATCGATATACTAAGTTCCTTCTCTCTCGCCCACTGCGTCCTCCGGGCTCACTGCAGACCTCCTTGCACAAGTCGCTATGACAGCGCTTCCGCATGGCTCACGCAGGAATGAATCAATGGCTGTGCGCTGCCTCTTGATTTATACTTCGGAAACTCGTTGGTCTGCCCTTTGCCATCGGCCCATGGTGCTCACAGTCCCCCGTGGTACTTGCTGGACCGGACTGGGACTGACTGGACCTTACCGCTGACTGACTGTGGGCTCACTGCTATCCTACCGTCGTCGTACTGCAATTGCACTGCAGTTTGGTCCACCACTTGCCTCGCCACTTGCCCACTTGCCCACTTGCCTACCTTCTAGAAGGACTACAACTAAGCTTCTGGAACTCGCTAAGACTTCTACTCTATAGGTCTACAGATCGAACCCCTGCTGTGTATGGACCTACGACAGATCTACCAACTGTCTACAAATACACAGGTTACAGGTTCAACTCTTGGGGTCTACACAGATACTGTACATGAGTAGGGTGAGGTCTAGGGATCGAGCCCTGGGTACTGCATCTGCTACTGATAAAAGGTGAAAACCGTTTCACTCCCGTTGAATTTAAATTCGAGGTCCTCCGAGAATATTTCAGTCCAAGGCAGGACCTTTACCTTTCTTATCACGCTCATAGGCCCTGACTATGAAGGGAGCTGTTTCTAGAAGTTTTGTTCTCGTGACCCAGCGGTCGTCTTGCGGTTCCTGATAGGCAAACCGGACCTTGTATTGCTTCTGGGGACGACCTCTACCTCCTGTTCTAAACACATCCTCATCTACAATGCCTTCTATGTCATAGCTCCCATCCATATCGGGAGGGATCATGGATCTTCTTGAAGGGAACTACTGACTTGTAACACATGGCAACAGCTTTGAAGCATGGAACACAGGATATGTGTGGAGGTCTACTGGGATCTCTATAGTGTATGATGGTCCATCCTCTCCGCCCTTGACTTCTAGAACCGGCCACGGTCCTCTATATGCAGGCGGTAACTTCTGCGAGATGTTTTCTTCAGGTGCAAACTCTTTTGCCTTGACCCAGACTAAGTCGCCTACTTGAAACTGTGATGGGCAACGATGCTTATTAGCCTGTTCTATCATCCTATGCTGGGCCTTCCGTAGGTTCTCAACAACAGTTGCTAATTCTTTTTTGTGTTGTATCACAAACTCCCTAGTACCGGGCGGTAGTCTGTGAATCTGATCCCGTTTCAGTCCTTCGAACGGTCTGCGTGATCTAAAGGACTTGTGCAACTCATTGGGAGTGCGGCAGGTSGATAGATGCACGCTGTTGTTGTATGCACTAGCTACCTTAGGCAACATCTCATCCCAGTTAATCTGATCTGGTCTAATGTACATGCGCAAAACTTGCTGTAGGATCTTGTTCATCTGTTCTGTCTGACCGTTAGTCTCTGGGTGGCGGCCAGTCGACATCAACAACTTAGATCCGTAGACTTTCATGAGTTCTTGCCAGTTTTGGCTGGTGAAGCGACTATCTCTATCGCTAACTATCGACAATGGGATTCCATTCTCACTAACCCAGAAATCAAAGAACTTTTGTATAACTAAATCTGTACGTTCCTCTGCAGGCAAAGGAACAAAAACTGCATACTTACTAAAGCGGTCAACTATGACCATGGCTTGGCTTTTGCCATGTCTACTCTTGACTTGGGTGTCCATGAAGTCTATGGACACTGAGTCTCCTGGTTGATCAGGAATAGGCAAGGGTCTGAGAAGACCTAGAGGGGCGCGCGTAGTAGTCTTATACATCTGGCACACTTTGCAACTGCGAACATACTCTATGCAGTCATCCTTCATCCCTGGCCAAGTGTACGCACGCATTAGATTGGCTAATGTCTTTTGCCAACCGAAATGCCCCTCAGTATCGTGGCATTCCCCTAAAATCAGACTGCGGATCTCTTCGCTGTTGGGAACGCACAGGCGGTCAAACACATTGATCTTCTCAAACAGCAACTCGTCTGTAGTGCGGTAATCTGGTTCAGTCTCTGGGGCCTCTCTAACTCTCTTTAGGAGGTCGCTATAGATAGGGTCCTGCGAATACGCTTGCTTCACCTTCTCCTGCAGGTCTCCCTATATCCAGATAGTGTACTATGGCTCCAAAGTAGTCTGATCTCCTACTCAGAGCGTCCGCTACTACGTTGTACTTGTCCTTCACTGGCTTAAGCTCAAAGTCATATTGGTCTATCTCTGCGGCCCACCTAGTCAACTTAGGTGTCATCTTGGCCTGAGTCTTTAGGGTCTCATGATCGGAATACACTTTGAAGTGCCTCCCAAGCAGGTAATGCTTCCAGTGCTCTAGAGCCTGCCTGAAAGCGCAGAGTTCTCTCTCGTACGTCAAGGTGGCTACCTTCTTTGAGGGCATCCTCGCTGACATGAACTCTAAGGGTCTATAACCATTGCGGTCATCTTGCTGCAACACGACACCTATCCCATACTGACTCGCGCCTGTGGTGACGACAAAAGGCAAAGACGGATCAGCTACTTTGAGGACAGGGTACTCTATCAATGCGCGCTTCAGCCTCTTCAGCGCAGACGTACAGTCTTTGTCCCATTGCCAGATTGCCTCTTTCTTAAGCAACCTGCGCAGGGGAGCGGCGATAGTAGAGAAGTCCATGACGAACTTTCTATAGTAATTAGCTAGGCCTAGGAACGACCGCAACTCTGTCAATGTGCGGGCGTTGGCCAGTCCCTAATTACCGCTATCTTGCTGTCCTCTGGCTTAATGGCATCTATGTTTAGTACGTGGCCCAAGTACAGGACTTGTGTCTTGGCCCACTCGCACTTCTTTGGATTGATCTTGAAGTTAGCCTCTCTCAGCTTCTCCAAGACCTGCCTCGGATGACCCTGGTGCTCCGGGAGGGTCTTACTAAAAACTAATATATCATCTAAGTAGACTACCACAAACTTGTCTAACCACAGTCTAAACAGGTCATTCATACAACGCTGAAAGGTCGCTGGCGCGTTGGTTAGTCAAAAGGGCATCACTATGAACTCATAGTGCCCATATCTAGTCCGGAATGCAGTCTTGCACTGATCATCAGGATGGACTTCTATCTGATGGTATCCAAACTTCAAATCTATCTTGGAGAAATACTTACAACCCTACACCCGATCTAAAAGATCGTCTATCCTGGGCAGCGGTTCAACATTCTTTACTGTGATAGCATTCAAACCCTTGTAGTCTATACACATTCTCAGCTCTCCTTCCTTTTTGGGGACGAACAAGACTCGGGCTCCAAAGGGAGACGAACTGGGCCTGATCCAACCTTTCTCGAGGAGGTCGTCTAATTGCTTGCGAAACTCCTCCAACTCTCTAGGGGACATCCTATAAACTGTGCCCTTAGGAGTTCTACTGCCAAGCTCTATCTCTATCCTGTGTTGGATGGGTCGCGACACTACGCCTGTCGGCGATTGAGTCAAATCTGTAAACTCTTCCAGCAACTTGGCAATCGTTGGAGCTGTGGAACTATCCTTTTCCTTGGTCTCATTCTTCACTAGTCGCGCGAACACGGGAGCACTGAGACAACAATGTACCAAGGTGTTATCTACGCCTGACACATGAAACAGGCGGGCAGTCTTACCCTCGCCTGACGAACTAAGGAGCCTACACTCATGCTCTCTCAAATGGAGTGTGGCCCCTGCTGCCTCTCCCCAATCCACTCCTAATACCACATCGAAAGGAAGGTCATCCTGTACGAGGAGAGTCAGGGAATGGAGAACCTTCTCCACCTTCCCATCCTTCTCTAGGCGAAAGTATGCCTGGACTCCCTCTGCATAGTCCTCAACACGCATCACGCGGTTGTGACGGGTTGTCTGCGAGGACACTGACTATGGGGTCTACTAACTTCTGGACTTTCAATCCTAGCCTTAACTTTTTCAGCGCTCTGCGGCTAATATAATTGCGGGTGGCCCCTGAGTCTATCAGGGCCCCTACTCTAGTCCTGAAAACTTCTACGTCTACCAAGATCATTTGCCCTTTACTCTCCTTCTTCATTTTGGCCCAGGCGGGCATCCTCTCCTTTAACTCTTCTGCCACACCTGTGAGGGACGTGCCTAAAGAGACGCTGACACAAGCAGTCTCTGGGCACCTAGCTAGGCACGGGCCTGCAACCTCTGCCATAGGCGCATGTGGGTTGGGAGTGTCTTGTTCGCACGCGCTCACTTCTCCACATGGCCTTGAAGTAGGGGCAGTTGCGACCCCTACTAGCAGCTGCCTTTTGACTGTTGGGCAGCCCAACGGGCCTGTCTATACTTTGGACAAAATTTTATTACGTGGGCCGGGTCATCACAAAACATGCACTGACCCAAGTTCACGCGTTCCTGCCATAACCTCTGGTCCAAGCCCAAGTCCTCCCAGGGCCTGCCCTGTGGCAAGCCTGGGTGCCATCCTCCTTGAGGTGCCCTTCCACCTCTTCGCTGTGGGGACCGATTAGAACCTTAGCGATTTGGCGGGGGACCTTGACCCCTACCTCCCACTTGGCGGTTTCCCTGTCTGCCAACCCCCTGCGCACCCGGTCTTCGGCCTCCCCCTCTACCTTGCGGCCTCCCTCCAGCCGCGACAGCAACATAGGACCTCCCCTGTCCCATGCTACTATCCTCTTCCTCTAGGCCCCACTCAATCTGACTATATGGGACCTCATCAGTATCACCTTCCTCTAAGGTAAGGATCATGTGATCCTTGACCCTTACCTGGCCTGAGATGGTACGGCCTTTCCACTTCTTCCCCTTATCCAAGTCCTTATGCCAGAAAGTGGTAACCGGCATGATGGACCTTGACTCATACAGGACGACTTCCCTACTCAGCGCATCATATGTGATGCCGGCCTGACTCCTCACACTTGTTCGTGGGATGTTTGTGCAGTTGGGGTTACATCATGTTTTCGCGTTCCCTTGCCTACTAAGGAGCTTAGCGCTACGGACTTCAGAATGTTGCAAGACGTCTGCGGAGATTTCAGCAACGGCTACGAGGTGGTTTCCTCGGTTCGCAGAGGTCCCAATTCGATTCCGTTGATCAGAAAAAGTCTTCAAACTCTTGTCCAGGGGGTATGGCTTTCCGACGAGGTGGTGGAGTCGTACTTCGCCTTGCTTGCCAACGCTGCGTTCCTTGGGGGTCCCTCTCTTTACATTTTCAGTCTCTTTTTCTATACCAAGCTCGACCGTGGTGGTTATCGACATGAAAGGGCTGCAAAATGGATAAAAAATGTGGATATTTTCTCGTACGGCATGGTCTTGATTCCTGTCCACAAAAATGGAGTGCATTGGACCCTATTATGTGTCCGAGAACAAGGGCTGGAGTACTACGATTCCCTCCTGCAAGACGATGGCGGTTTTTCTTTCGATGTGCTTGCGAACTTCACGCAATACCTATGTGACGAAGCGGTTTGTCGATATGGTCAACAAACCAAACTGGATCTCCCGACGCCCAAGGTGGTTGCTCATGGTGTCCTTCAGCAGTCGGACGGGTCGAGCTGCGGTGTTTTCATGCTCGCCTTCACGTCTTTTCTTGCACGCGGCTATCCGCCACCGTTTCCTATAGCCCAAAGTGATATTGCAAACATCAGGCTGAGGATTGCGGTGAACATACTCCAAGGCTCTGAATAATACCCCTGTTGTTAAAATACGCGTAGTTTTTTTTTCCAAATGCCATAAGCAGAAGTGCGAATCTATTCCCACTTGATCTAGCAGTCAGCCGGTTCGAGCTGTGCTGTTGTTTTGATGAGGTAGCGGATTGCAGTGGACGTTTTGGTCAAGTACATGCTTAGGTGTCGATGTGAATATCCCAACCTCGTGCTGTAACAATTTTTTAAGGGTTCTTCATTTCGTGGAACCTGTCATCTTTACTCGTAGGACTTTCGACAGCGCCGTGCTGCCTTTGTTTGTTTTCGGGTTGTTCTCATTGCTTGCCGCGCAACATCAGCTAGAGGGTAGCAACGGACGCTTACGTGAAGTAGAAGCTTAGATGCCGATGTAAATATCCCAACCACGTGGTGCAGTTCCTTTTAAGTAGACGCTTACATATCGGATGTGAATATCCCAACTCTGTGCTCCTTTTGTTTATTTTCGGGTTGTTCTCCTTATGTCCTCTCAGACTGCGGCAGCACCGTGTTGCGTTTGTTCGTTTCGAGGTTGTGCTCCTCTGTTACTCATGTGAAAGATATCGATGATTTATTCTTGGTCGCCAAATTGTTTCGTGCTTATCTCTTTCGTTCGCGAGACTTTGTGGTGTGAAAACCCCTCCCCCCCGCCCCACCCCGACCACTGAGTTTTCATATGTTTTGGCTCGCCCTTGTTCTGCGTGTGCCGCCCCGTTTTACGGTTCATCCCCTCTGCTTGCATCCATTGAATGTTGTTTGTTGGTTCCTTATAACGGTTGCGAACTTGTTCTCCATCCGGAAACCAATTGTCGTCAGAATGTATGTGTGCTTGAAGTTGTTTTACGGATTCAGCGGTGCACTAAATGATTACCAATTTTGTTATTCCCAGAATACATCTCGTGCTCTCCACGGAATGCTGGCTGTTGTTTTCGTATGAGAAATGCGAACATATTCGCACTTTGGATGCCGTACATTTGTGATTGAACTGTTGGTTGCATATGAGAAATGAGAACATATTCGCACTTTGGCTCCATGTACTTTGTAATTTTTGGGAAGCCTCCGTGCACTTTGCAATGTGGGATTGTATGATATTTTGCGTTCAATGATTTTTTGAAACGTCTCTGTGTGCTTCGCAATTTGCCCTTGAATGAATTTTTTGCATTTAATGGTTTCTGGAAACTGTTCGTGTGCTGTGAGACTTCACCTTTGGAAAAACACAGGGCAACTTGAGATGTTTTCACCTCGATGTTTGCGATGTCTCTGTGTGCTTTGCAAAAACACAAGGCAATGTTTCCGTATGAGAAATGCGAACATAATCGAACTTTGGATGCCGTACATTTGTGATTGAACTGTTGATTCCATATGAGAAATGAGAACATATTCGCACTTTGCTTCCATGTACTTTGTGATTTTTGGAAAGCCTCCGTACACTTTGCAATGTGGGATTGTATGATATTTTGCGTTCAATGATTTTTTTAAACGTCTCTGTGTGCTTCGCAATTTGCCCTTGAATGAATTTTCTTCATTGAATGGTTCCTGAAAACTGTTCGTGTGCTGTGAGACTTCACCTTTGGAAAAACACTGGGCAACTTGAGATGTTTTCACCTCGATGTTTGCGATGTCTCCGTGTGCTTTTCGAAAAACACTGGGCAACTGTTTGAAAAAGCACTGGGTAACTTGTATGAATGGATATGAATCTTCTACACACAAAGATCTGATGGCGTTTTCAACCTGTAATATACATATGACAAACCATTATCCATATTAAATCGTCGGGCTGATTGGTTCACAACTGCTTCTCCATCATAATGCGAGTTCAATCGCACTTCTGGTGTGAGCCCTGAGCAATTCCCTCGCACTTTGCTTCATGTCGAGAAGGGGATCGAACGCACCGCCGGTAAGCACCTGCACATCACGAAACAAGAGCACGTCCCAATTGGAACATCGTCGGGTTTTTGCGATGTCGACTCCCACATGATGACTACACTGAACAGCGGCCGGATGACCGCTCCGCCTCTCCGCTGTGGATCTAACGGTGGATTGCGTCAAATCTGCTCTCATAGATCCTCGTCGAGGATGGGGGACGGGATACGACCAAAGTTTGCTTGTAAGGCATCATATGATGTGTCGATATAACCGACATCCAGAACTGTTTGGTGAGCATCTAGTGCTACGCCAACAAGTTCCAAACACGGCAGCAAAGTCCCCTAAGAGTGTTCTTTGTCGGGTCCTCACCTCGTCGACTCCCTCAAGATGACTACAGCTGACAGCGGTAGGATGGC